GTTCGGGTTATTTTTTGGGGTTTCTGAAAAACTGGTTTTCTAGAAAACCAGGTCTTTGAAGGGCTATGCGGAAGCCGCATGGTCGTATTCGTAATCAGCATGGTCGATAACCTATAACCCACTAGATTCCGAGCAAAAAGCGTTTAATCACTTCGTGGGGTTCCCTCGTGAGATTCCGTCACCATTGCACGAAAACCGGGACACCATGATCTCGTTAACTCTTTGGTAGGAACGCAACTATCAGATGTGGATGAAGAAAGCGGCTAAATTCACATTCGAATAATCGTTTTTTACGTATTGATCACATTCAAATTTAGCCAGTGGAACAATAAACACATCCACACAAACTTTTTTAATTGTATCTTTTCGGGGATGGGCCTGAAAAACCTGATATTAATGTGGTGATATTGAAAACGTGTAAAAATTTGAAGAAAACGATTGAAATAGATAGTGATTCATTTGTCGTTGATCATATTTTGTTCAAGGGTGATACACAGCATAATATTATGCACGTTTGAAGTGTGACCAACAAGGAATTCGAGATAATGATGGTAATCTGATGTTGTATCCATATAAGTAAGCGCCATCAAATTTACGTACAAACCATGCTCTTCAGCTGTATGGAACAATGGCAGAAAAACAACAACAATCAGTCATCAGTCAGAAGATCTGGGATCTCTGATTCGAGCGGAAGATTTTTCAAAAAACATTCAATGGTCACATAATTTTACAGTTGAACTAAAATCGTTATTTAATTGTACATATTGGAAAGCACATGATTATCGTTCATTTCTATTGTATATTATATTTCTGTGTTCACCTCATTTTCTTCCTGAGCCATTTACAGCGCGTTTCTCGTTGATATAGTTTTTCTTAAAACGTTATACTTTTACCAATGATGAAATTTTATTTAGCCAAAAGTCTACTCATAAAACGTGAAATATAAAGAAATAGTGTAGTATCATTAAAAGTTCAATGACAAAGAGAAGAACAACAATCAAGGTTATGAAAATGATAATGAGCAATGAGATGGGCGCGAATTAGATGAGGATGAATATCAATTGAAAGTAAGTCTTTTCCTATATTATCATGATGATACCTACGGGAACTTCAGCTGACTAAATTAAACGAGACTAATTTTAAGTTTTAGATGACGGTCAATCAGAAGAATTCAGTAATGATACGATTTGTGACGTTTATACGTTTGTTTTTGGATTACGTGCGTGTAAACTACAAAAAAATTTATTTTTCTTTCGTTTTTTAAATTTTTCTATTAAGTTATTTCTAGAGCTAGATATGCTCTTGTTATTTGTACTTCTTTTTTCTTTATTATTACGAAGTATTTGTATAGAAATGTCGTAAATGTTAATTAAATTCATCTTTACATATAAACATGCAGAAAGCCTTCAATAACGAAAAACGTAACAGTCATACCGAGTTCAGCGAAGAAAGTAATCGTACAAACTCTTAAACTTTTTGTAAACTTTTGGAGAAACTTTTCAAAAAGTTTCTCCAAATGCCGGTCAATACAATACAAATCGATAGGTTGTGCACTTCTAGCGACATCTCTTCGAATTAACGTCATTCGCAGATTTCATAAAATGTGTGTATCACATAAATTTCAGACGACTCGAATTCATTCGTTCGTTGAAATGGAGCAGCTGCTGTATATTTAAACGATTCCGTCTGCTTTGTGCACTAGACTGCCTATTTCTAATATAAGAGAGAGAGAGAGCTAAGAAATGAGGAAATAGTAAATCTAGTCAATTGCTGCTGCGAATGATTATTCGCACAAGTAGACTTGCGGTAGAAATCATAAGTAATAAAAATTCTTTCTTCAGTGAGGAATCTGTAATTAATATTAAATCCTTGTTTTTTATTAACAGCTTCATTATACCAAGCAATAGATTGGTCTCTAGCATATACCATTGGGAAACTGATTTTCTAAAAGCTTTAGACAGTGTTTAATTATCTTTAATCCTTTCGTAAAATGGCTTTTTGTTTTATTCTGTAATGTTATAAATTGCGTTTGGAATAAGATAACTAACTAGAAATATATTTTTTAAAAATCACCCTTACTTCATTTTTAAACTTTTTACAGGCAAATTAGTTTGAGATGAGGTGAAATGTGTGTGTAAGGATGAT